GTTCTCATCCCTTACTCTGGAAATACTCCCAAATTGTACTTCTTACAACTTTAAGATTACTTCAGCAATTTGGAGGTTAGAATTCTTGCAACTGTCTGTGGAAAATTCCACAGCCATTGTACAAAACATCTTGTGCCAACCCAGATGGTGTAAGATACACTGGGCTGCTGTGGCTTGTGCAAAACATCTTGGGACATGTAACGAACACCCCCTAGCTTAGCTCAGATCAGCAGTGTATTTCTGCAGGCCACTTTCTAGGAGTATCCCTGAGAGCTTCAAGCTGTAGTCACTGGTAAGCGTCAGTCTTGGGCTGGCCTGAAGTGCAAATGGAAGTACCTGAAGTGACTCCAGGTAGGTTTAGAAGTTAAAATAAAAAAAGAACAAGTGAAAATTTACTTAGAAATTTAAATGTCTGCAAGTCACCAGGGCCTGATGAAATGCATCCTAGAATACTCAAGGAGCTGATAGAGGAGGAATCTGAGCCTTTAGCTATCATCTTTGAAAAGTCATGAAAGTCGGGAGAGATTCCAGAAGACTGGAAAAAGGCAAATATAGTGCCCATCTACAAAAAGGGAAATAACAATCCAGGAAACTACAGACCAGTCAGTTTAACGTCTGTGCCAGGGAAGATAATGGAGCAAGTAATTAAAGAATCCCTGCAACATCTGGAAGATAATAAGGTGATACATAACAGCCAGTATGGATTTGTAAAGAACAAATCATGTCACACCAATCTGATAGGTTTCTTTGTAGGATATTAAGCCTTGTGGATAAGGAAGAAATGGTGGACATGATATACCTATAAGAGGGGTAGCCGTGTTAGTCTGGATCTGCAAAAGTGACAAGGAGTCCTGTAGCACCTTATAGACTAACAGATGTATGGGAGCATAAGCTTTCGTGGACAAAGACTCACTTCATCAGATGCATCTGCTCCCGTTCTGGTAACTACACTGGATGCTGACTGAAATTGTGAAATTTTGATGTTATGTTGTTCGAAAAGTGCTCCCCCCCACTCAGATACCACAAGCTCATCTCCACAGCTAGGTGGCAGTATCCTTCTCACTACTGTAAAAGGAGAAAGGGCAGAAGAAGGTGAAAGCAAGATTTAAAAAAATGATTGAGAATTGCTGGGTTGAGTCATTATCTGCATTTTGTGTCTGAGGTTTAATGTGTGAGAACTTACTGAATGATCAGTCTTGGTTACATAACTTGTCTGATTTTCTGAATTTCTAATGTTAGAAATCTTTGCTTGCCATGGCACAGACAATCCCTTAATTCCATTGGAGAACAGACTGATCAGAAATGAAATGAACAAGAATCTGCATTTAAACATTTCTATTTCAGCGTTAGTGGCAAAGCTATCCGGCCGTGGTGGTACAGAACTAGGATAAAGTTCTTCTAAGTTATAAGATTCTGTTGAAACTCTAAATGAATCACTGTGTTTATTGGTAAATTGTAACACCACAATCAGTTCTTTAGGAATTTCATAAACATTAATTCTCTGTAATTCATTAATTGCTTTTAATTCTATTTTGGTTAATAGATAATTCTGCCTTCTGTACTTTGGTTAAAGAAAAAGAGATTTTAATGAGAAATCTAAAGTTAATTAAAATTATTTACAAATTATTTACCTCTGTTTTATAAGGTATGTTGCCTCAGACAATTGTATTTCTTCTGGAATTCTTCCAGGATAGTGGTCACCGACTGGTAGATACAGATCTACCGGTAGATCTTGGAGCCTCTGACAGGTGATCCTGACTGGTTTGGCCAGGAAGCTATCAAATGCTGTCACTTCAGTTGCCCCTCCACCCACTGTCATGCTGTTCCTGCCCTCTGCCTTGGAGCTGCCCTGTGGGAGCCTCCTGCTTCCTGTGCACAGTGTAGGAGGGAGAAGAGAGGGACACTGATGTCAGGGTAGCCCTCCCCCCACCTTCTGTATCCTATCTCCACGCAGAGAGAAGGGAAGAGGATGGAGGGAGCTTGGCAATGCAAAACTGCATTGTGTATCTCTGGTGTGTATACATGGTGTGTATCTCTGTTGTTCTCACAAATACACACAGTCCTTCACTCTCATCTCCCGACCCAACACATACGTGGAGGGTTGCTGTTACTTCTTTTTGGTTTTTGACTAGTCAGTGCATTTCATAATTTTCATGGATGTTGCCGGAGCAGAGAATCCCAGTTAAGAGAGTTTCAACCTGTAGCTGCTTGATGTGTCCTGCATCGTGTCTGTGAAGCAAAAGGGTTTCTCTTGCTGACGGTGTGGAAGGAGCAGGCGGAGCGGCTATTTGCTGAGTTTCAAAAGCCAATCCCAGGGGCTGTGTCTAGACTGGCAAGTTTTTCCGCAAAATCAGCTGCTTTTGCGGAAAAACTTGCCAGCTGTCTACACTGGCCACTTGAATTTCTGCAAGAACACTGACTTCCTACTGTCTGAAATCACTGCTTCTTGCGGAAATACTATGCTGCTCCCGTTCGGGCAAAAGCCCTCTTATGCAAATCATTTGCGCAAGAGGGCCAGTGTAGACAGCACAGTACTGTTTTGCGCAAAAAAGCCCCGATGGCTAAAATGGTGATAGGGGCTTTTTTGTGTAAAAGGGCAATCTAGACGCTCTTTTCCACAAATGCTTTTAACGGAAAAGTTTTCCGTTAAAATTTTCTGCAAATGCTTTTAACGGAAAACTTTTCCGTTAAAAGCATTTGCAGAAAATCATGCCAGTCTAGACGTAGCCAGGGAGTTTGAAACAGCAGTTTGACAGCAAGCCACAGACACATGCCAGGATGTACTGTGCCCAGCCTGTCCCTGGGGTGTTCGTTGCCGCATTGAGCACCATAGATTGCAAGTTCAGTGCTCACTGGAGACCCAGATAGGAAACATGGGGTAGATCAGCTGTATCTTTGCTTTATTTCAGTTTGCTAGCTTTTAAGGATCTACTCTGTCAGCAAAAGAGGGATGGCCAGACTTGCCTGATATTTCTAAGCTCGATCACAAGCAGAACCGCCCCTCCCCCACCATCAACTCTTCACAGTCACTGATGCCTTATAAAGAGGCAAAAAGGAGCCAGGCCCAATTTAATTTTCACCTTTGCAATTAACCTGCAATGACCTGGCTAAGTATCTGCAGGGTAGTTGAGCATTAGGAGGGCAGGTGGATATTCCTCAGACTTTGTTACATTTCACTCCAGCATCCAGTTGGGTTTGAAAGGAGGCCAACGTGGGGTTTGTTTGGCAGTGGCAGGGGAAGAGGAGACATTTCGTATTTGTGCAGGGGGTGATTGTGATTTTACCTGGAGACGTTCATCCATCTGGAAGTGTGACAACCACATTCTCCAACGCCTTTCAAACCCAGACACAGTCAGCAGGGCGACAGCCAGGTGCCATTTAAAGGTAAATGCTTGGATTCCAGTCAGCAGCTGCAAAGGACCAGACTTGAGTATCGGCACCTGAAGGGATAGAAGAAATCAGAGACAGACAGCCAGGCTGATGTGTCTGTTTCTTATCTCCCCACAGAGCAGGGAAGTGGGATGCTTATTTTGAAATAGGGGGCCTCTAGTCCTTCCCAGGGTGCCCTGCTGGCCGCCCTGGCCACAAGGTAACTTCTGACCTAATGCCCTGCTGGAATCAGTTCTGGCTGGCCTTAAATACGATTCAGCATCCAATCAGTGCGGACGCGCTATTTTGAAATAGCAAAAAGCTATTTCGTAATGCATTTTGTGTGTAGACGCGTTATTTCAAAATAAGATATTTTGAAATAATGCTGTAGTGTAGACATACCCTGAGGGACTCAATGGGCAGGTCACCCCTGCACCAAACCCCTTCCAAAGAGCCAAATTACAAACCTGCAATAGGCACTCAGAGAAGCCGTCTAACTTTACAGACAGGACAACATAATGTTAAAGGAGTCTGAACAGGTGTCAGCTCTTTGTTGTCTTGCGATGATTTTCTCTGATGCTTTGCTCCATTTGCTAAATAAACCCACTTGATTTCAGAGAGCTGTTTGTCATTAGCTCTTTTCATAAGCTCCCCAGGGCAAGAGGAACAAGCGAGACTGTATAATAATAGGTGTTTGGCATAGATGGAGGGCTGTCCCCAAATCCTCATCTCAGGGCAAATCTTCACTGGAGGCAGAGCTGTGTCTGCAGCCTGTGGAGACGTACCTCAGCTAGCCTTCTCTGGTTGGCTGGAATAACAGTGGTGAAGCCACCGCCACTTGGACAGCAGCATGGGTTGTAAAAGACACAGAGGAGCCTGGAAGCCTACTTGTGTTGCTAGGCTGTTCTTCTATGATGTCTACCATGACCTAGCTAATCCAAGCTCATTCTGGTGTGTACGTGTGCTGTGGTCACATCACCAGTTGCAGGGTAGACCTTTCTGTAGACTGGGAGACTTGTGAAATCTCATCCCAGAATAGTCGAAGCCTGAGGCCTAAGTAGCCTCGTATTTTGATATCCGCTATAGAACACTTTGAATATGTCTTATATTTCCCTGGGCAGAGGATCAGCCCAGCAATTTCTCTTTCTTTCTTATATGAAACATGTGAATGAGAAGGATTTAGCATTAGTAGGCACCATTGGCTTTGCCAGGCTTGGCACATCGAGAATTTGTGTCTGTACTTATGACTATTATTGTTCAGATTGAGGGCTTGACATGGAGTCGTGTCAAATTGGTCAAGCACCACTGTGAGGGGTACCCCCAAGAAGTGGCCTGCAGAAGTAAGTTGCTGATCTGAGGCAAACGAGCAGTTGTTCGTTAGATGTGCCAAGATGTTTTGCAGAAACATGGTGGCCTAATGGGCCTTACACCATCTGGGGTGGCACAAGATGTTTTGAATAATGATCATGGGATTTTCCACAGCCAGAGTTGCAAGAATTCCAACGCCCAAACGGTGGTTGGACATTTCAAATCTTTCCCGGAAGCAGGGGTCATCTGTTGATTGGCCCACAGCAGCCTTGCCAGTAAGACACCAACTGTATAAAACAAGCTGTTTGGGTCAAAGTATTTCTCCTGACTCTAAATTATCTGGACGAGCGAGACGGTGAACAGAACTGTCATCACCTGACTCCTGGGAGTACCCCTGTCTGGTAACTACTATTATCACTTTTCTCATAATCTATTAACTCTTCTTTTAAAGTCCTGTCCAGAGAGACAACTGTGAGACCCCTGAAGAGAAGAACAGAGTTGTCATAACCCCTTGGGAGAGTGAACTACCTGAATGAAATTCCAGGTGTCTCATGAAACCTTTTGGGGTTGTGTGAAGCTAGAGAACACGTCTTCATGCAACTTGGAATGAAGTAGTAGCAATACTACAGCTGTTACGGTTACCACAGTGAAAATTTGGCCATTTAAAGCTATCAGAGTTAAAATCAGCTACAGGAGATTCAAATTATCCAAATTGCCTTCATCAGGAAAACCTAATACTCTAATTGCAGTGTGTCTCCTCTAGCAGTCCAATGATGAACTAACGTGAAGACTGCAGGAACTGCAGTTTGGGAGGGTTTCCAGAGGAAGGGATGATGGTAGCAGGAAATGGGGTTGTAAATGAAGGTGAAGGTAGGGAGGAGAGAAGATGGGGACAGAGAGAAAGAGAGAGCAGGCAAGAAAGAACTAGATAAAGGGGTATGGTGAAGACTGGAAGGCGAAGAGAAAGGGCAGGGAGGAGGTAAAGGAAGAGAACAGGTTGGATGGAGAAGAACAAAGGGAGGCAGCAATAAAGATAAAGAAGAGAAAAGGGGAAGGAAAGAAGGACAGATGAAGGCAGATGGGATATAGCCACATGGGACAGCAGCCTCCTTGGTGCTGATTAAGCACTTGCAAGCACTAGCAGTCCAGTTGCCTGCAAACATCAGCACAAATAATGAGGAGAGGTGGTGCTGGAGCAGCTCACAGCACTGTGAGTGCCAGGAAATAAAGCTGATCATCTAACCACCTTCCTCCTCCTTCCTGTGCTTGCTTGCTTACTTACTTTAAGGGCTGTGTTAAAGCACATAAAGTGTGTCAATGTGCGATAATGCTCCACTCTACACTCTGACAAAAGAGGAAGAACTTTTGATTTGTCTAGAGACTGAACCATTGTTTCCAGTATTTGCATATTTACTTACCTTTGAATGTTTAATGAAAGTGTCCTAAAATGGAAGATGATTGGTAAAATTCCAGAGAGACTGGAATGGTTGCAATGAGAGCTTCCCAGCTGGGAGAAGAGGCAAATCACACTTTCTACGGGCTAACTGTGAGCCTGCTAGTACTTCAGTAATTACACAGTGTTACAGCCCCACTCACTCAAATTTGGCCTGGCTGCCCTTCCCTTTCATGACAGAAGGGCAACTAGACCACATCTGAGTGAGTAGTGTTGTGCCTTCATGTGCCAGGTAGCAAAGCCACTCACTTCAATGTGAGTGGCTTTGCCCTCCCTCATGACTACGTATTTACAGCCCCGTCAGTGAGTGACATGGGGACTGGGCACAACACCCACTAACAAATCCAACCCTGAAAATGTTGTGGCTATTGATGTGTATGCTTTGAGAAAGCCCCTTGATACCACAAGCCATTGCTGCAAAGAGGTGGCAGTACCCATCTCTATATTGTAAAATAGCAGAAGGAAGGTGTTGGTAAAATAGGTGCTAATATCAGGCAAAATTGAAAAAAAGGTTGAGAACTGTTGGTTTAAATCAATATTATCATGATTGTCTGCAGTTTAATGTGTGATAGCTAATAGAATTGAGAATTTTGTCTGAGTTTACAAATTCTAACAGTTCTTTGCTTGCAAATTCTCACATTCCTATAATTCCACTGGGCTGATCAGAAATGAACAAAAGAGAACCAGGATAAAGTTTTCCTAAATAATAAAACCATCCATGAATTGATGTGGTTTATTATTTCTTGATCAATTGTAACAGCACATGATGAATTCGTTCTTGGAAATTTCACAAACATGAGTATCTACCACCTTTCTTTTGATTTCTGTAATTTCTTAATTGCTTTTAATTCTCTTTTGGGCAATAAAATGCACAAATATGTGATAAATCTGCAGTCTGTACTTTGGCTAAGGAAAAAATAAATTCCAATGCGAAAGTTTATATAATTGATTCATTAAAATTATTCCCAAGACATCTCATTTTAAAAGAACACCTACCAAAAATGTTTAAATTAAAGCAATATTTCCATAGTTTAGCAGCTCACAATTCTCAATGTTCTAGCAACTTCCATCTCCTTTCTGTCTTGGTGTCTCTTGTCTGCAGTGTCACCGAGTTCCTGGTCAGCCTTCCGCCATGAAGATCCTTCATCTAGTCTTTGCTGTTGTTTTCTTGCTGCTCCTGGATGCACCAGGTAAGATGTCAATGAAAACAATCAATGATATAAAGGGTTACCTGGGAACCTGTATGAAGATTGTCTAGTGTTTTCCATTAACATTTTTTTCTACCTTTCTTTGAGCTCTAGCATCTGCCTCTAAGAATAACCATTGAGGTTTCATTGATCTATGGCCTGTCAAAACAAAATCCTTGTCCTCTCCATTGTTTCCTCATATCTTGCTGAAGTATGCTGTGTAAGCTAACCCACCTTCTCTCTGCATGGCATACACTCTTCTCAAAATGGGCAATCACAGAACTGAGCATCTGGCGTTAAATGGAGTCTGACCAACTCCTTATATACTCATGGGTTCTGCTTCTGACTGTTGTTAATAATTCTCTGCCGTTTTCAACCTGACTTATTATGAACCTGGTATTGTGTCCCACTGAGAAGTTATACTGCAAAGAAAAGAATCCAGGTCCTTAAAGTGGCAGTCTCCCTCTCTTTGCCCCAATGTTTCTCAATACCTTTCACAAAAATGTGCTTGTCTTTCCCCGCCCCTCCCAAGAAATAATATCATCTCTTTGTGGGACAATATTTGTAGATGTGTCAATGAAGCGTGTAGGGTTTCAGTTTCTATCCTTTGGCGGAAAAGAGTTTTGGGAAAACACAACTTAGGGTGTTCAAAATATTCTAAAATATTTGGCTGTCCACATTTGGGCTGCCCTTTCAAAACAACAGGTCAGTCAGGGAAAACTGAACACTGCCAGTTAGGTAGAAACTATTCATGAGGGCATGGGCCATTGGTGAAGGCAGGGCTGGAAGGCCCTGCCCCTCCTATTAGGCCCCGCCCGTGGGATGTGGGGTGGTATGCCACATGCATGCTCCCCACTTCCAACCATAGGGCTTGGAGGGGAATGGATGCATGTTTGCCATAGCCTGCCCAACCCTGGTGGAAGGCGTACCGCGCCGCATGGCCTGGCCAAGTCCAGGCCAGCCTGGAGCACTGGGGAGAGGGAGGAGGCTGGGCTGGGCCGCACTGCACGCTGGGATGCGCAGAACACCAGAGAGGGAGGTAGTAGGACGCACTGCTCCACATGGCCTAGCCTAGCTCAGCCCAACCCAGCCTCTTGAGCACCAGGGGAGAGAGGAGGCAGGGTGTGCTATGCCTTGCGGCTTGGCCCGGCCCAGCCTCTCCAGCCCCAGAGCACTGGAGGAGGAAGAACGACGCGCCACATGGCCTGGCCCAGCCTTCCCAGCTCTGGAGTACTGGGAGGGTGAGCACTAGGGGCAGCAACACTCCACCCGCAGAACATGGATGGGACTATGCCTGGTGGTTTGGGAAGGCAGAGCCTTCCCCCGCCTTCCATACCTGTCGCCCATGCCTCAGGGAATCTTTTGAAGAAAATTTGAGTGGAGTCTCATAGACAGGCAGATATTTATCCCCGAAGGGACTTTCTCAAGCCCTTCTCCCTCAGAAAGTTATAGTCAACCAACCCGGCACAGAGCCAGTCAACCCTCCTTAGCCAAACTGCATTGCTGATATCACATGGCACATGACTGTGAGAGCCAGAGGGAATCCACACCTCAGCCCATCCAGAAAGAGAAGTTAGTAAAGTAGGCAGCCCCTAGCTTTCTGTCCTTTATATTCATGGGCCATTGGAGGATACCCATACTCGGAGCTACGGTTCTGAAATCTCCAGCTAGAAAATCAGTGCCCCAGTTTATTTAAATTGCTGCTTTCCATTCTAGGAGACTGCCATTGAACTTGGAGAGAACGGCAGCCATTTAAATAACCCGTGGTAAACGTTTGGCCTAGAAGATAATGGGGCTGACTTGGTCCGGTCTCAGTAAATGGGAAACGCCTGGCATCCTGAAACCACAACCCTTCCTTTGCCCTGCTCTGCAGAATGATGATTCAGACTCTTTTTTTCTTTCTTAGGATTCTCCAAGGCCAGAACGACCCCAGGGGACTGTAGATACCGAGGTGGATCCTGCTTCCTTTGGCGATGTCCCACCCCTTCTATATACATTGACAAATGCATTCCGTTTGGCCACTGCTGTCAGAAGTAAGCTCGGCGTTCCCCGGGAGTGACTCTGCCGTGTGAGCGGGAATGTTCAATGTTCTCTTTCCATATAACGGCCGATGAATCCTTCCCTCCTTAAAGCAGCACAGTTCTTAGCCCTTTAATTCCCCCCTTTCACACACTGGGGCGAGTGGTCATTCGACAAATCTCGGTGATGTCAATGTTAACGTTATTCAGAATGAATGCAAAGGGTCTAAGCAGAAAGGTTTCTCCATAAGGTTAACTTGGACACCTTGCAAATCTGCTACCCCTTTTATTTCTGTTCTGTTTCTTTCTGACTGAATGGGCCCTAAGTTACAGAAGATATTCAGCTAGTCAAATTTATGTTGCAGCAGGAACAGGTCAGACAGGGCCATCCTCAGACATACGCAGCATACACAATAGCACAGGACACCTGAAAATTTGAGGCAGCCCCAAATTATCCCCTCCTTCCCTGCTCACTTGCTCCTCTTAGACAGCTGGCCTCTGTGCCCTCATTCCAGAGTGTAGAGGAGCCATCGGGTGCGTCTAGAGAATTTGCAAGCAGCCGCTTTTGTGCAAAAACTTGCCAGCTGTCTACACTGGCCGCTTGAATTTGCACAAGAGCACTGACTTTGTAATGTACTTTGGCTCCCGCTCGGGAAAAAGCCCTCTTGCGCAAGAATACTTGCCCAGCAACACCTGTATCCAGTTGCCCCGCACCTTCTGGCTATCGTGCCCTGGGCATGGGCCCAGTGTGCCCATCCCTAAGGCTGGCCCTGAGGTCAAGGGAAGCTCCGGGCCCTGAAACAAGCCAAACAAGGAGAGTGGAAGCCCCTCTTCCCTCAGTAGTCCCCTTCAGGTAACTTTCATTAATCCCCATAAGTTGAAAGAACAGTTCTGGTCCTAGAAATGGAGTTAGGAGGGTAAGAGATTTTTTTCCACCCATTAAAATACTAGAGAGAGGGCAAGAGACATGATGTTGTGAGCTCCTTAGGGCTTCAGGGTGTGAGCAAGGGTCTTAGGCATGGCTTCCGGTGCTAGTAGCTGTAATGCTAATCTCTTGGCCAATTCACTGAGCATGCCCAGAGAGCCATGCTGGCGGAGCCGCTAACATTGAACTGCCATCAGAACTGAGGCCTTACTAGACCTGCTAAATTGAATGCCAGAAGGTAGATCTTCACCTTCTACCTGCACTGGAGATCCATCTTCTGACATTTGATTTAGTGGGTCTAGTAAGGACCTGCTGAATCAAACACTGAGGGTGTCCCTAGGTGGTGCCAGTACTCCTTGATTTGTGAGGAGTAAGAGAAGCTGATGGGAGAATTTGCTCTCGCCAACCTTCCACTGTGGAGAGAGTGCCAAACTCCACTTAAAGTACATTGATTCCAGCTATGTTATTTATGTAGATGGAGTTGCGAACCTTAAGCTGACTTTCTGGGTCTAGTATAGAAGGGTATGTCTACACTACCCTCCTAGTTCGAGCTAGGAGGGTAATGTAGGCATACCGCACTTGCAAATGAAGCCCGGGATTTGAATTTCCCGGGCTTCATTTGCATAAGCGGGGAGCCGCCATTTTTAAATCCCCGCTGGTTCGAACCCCGTGCAGCGCGGCTACACGGGGCTCGAACTAGGTAGTTCGACTAGGCTTCCTATTCCGAACTTCCTATTCTGAATGTGGAAAGAGGTGTACCGGTAGTTCGGAATAGGAATCCTAGTCCGAACTACCTAGTTTGAGCCCCGTGTAGCCGCGCTGCATGGGGTTCGAACCAGCGGGGATTTTAAAATGGCGGCTTCTGGCGGCTCCCCGCTTATGCAAATGAAGCCCGGGAAATTCAAATCTCGGGCTTCATTTGCAAGTGCGGTATGCCTACATTACCCCGCTAGTTCGAACTAGCGGGGTAGTGTAGACATACCCGAACTGGCCTGTGTTAGGCTGTAGGTAGAATTAGACTTTTCCTACATTCTTTCAGAGTTAGTTAGTTATCACCTAACTAAGCATGTCTCATTTTAGGTGCAGCTGTAGACAAGATGTCTGTTTGGTAAAACAACTATATGGATATACATTGTGCTTTTCTATATTATATAGGCTTTGTAGGCAGACAGATCATCTGTTTAAGATGCATATAACTGTTCATTTTGAAATGCCAAAAGGATGTCGCAGTGGGGATAAAGGATATTCTGTGCTGGGGCTAATCAAGAACTTCTTCACTCACCTTTCAGTGAATGGGGTGTTCTTCCCAGGCCATATGATTTGATACAAAATCAGATCCTTCTTCCATTGGAGGACATAAAAGAATCTGATTCTTTTGTCTTCATACAGGCGGTAGTTCAATTGATTGTCTGAGCAAGATCTCTGGGAATCCAGCAGACAGCTACTTGCTTCTAAAATCAACAGATTCTGCTTCAACGGACCCTTGAAACGCTATTAAGTTCAGCTAGAAAGAAACCTGTTAGCTGGAGGAATACCAGACGAGAGCCCTCAAAAAATATAAATCAAATATTTGTTACTTTCCTTTTAATAAAAGCAAGTTTGTATGATATTGTTGTATCAAAATGTGTGTGTGCTGTTGGGAGACAAGGTGGCTGTTTCCATACTTCTTCTCTTTAGAAATCTACCTGATTTAACTATAAAAAATACAATAAAATATTCTAAAAGTTACCCCTCCCATGTTAATACCACCCAAGAGTATTTGTAAACAATGGTCCATATCTCTTTAGGTTCCAACCAACTCCTGTGGGTAGTTCTTTATTTTTATAGTTATTACAAACCCTATCAGTTTGTGGTATCAGAGGAGCTGGGTTTATTCCCAGCTTGACTGTACGGTGTGTAGCCCTCACCCCAAAACTCTATTGCCTTAGACCTTCCTTCTGCTCTGAATTCCCGTTGTCCAAAATGAGGAGAACAGAGGAAACAAGACCCAGTTGGGGTATGTCTACCCTGCATGCTTATTTAAGAATAAGCTATTCCGGAAGAAATACTCCAAAATAGCTTATTTTGAAATCACACGTCTACACTACAGGGAAGCCTCAAAATTACTCTGAGGCAGGCTCCCCTTATGTGGACACACTACCTCAATTTAGAGCCCCAGGAAGCACTGGGGAGTAATTACTTAGAATGGTCCTGGTGAGGAGCCATTTTGAAATAGCAGCAGTGGAGCGTCCACACTACTGCTATTTTGAAATAGCTATTTCGGAATAGGCGTCATTCCTCGTGGAATGAGGTTTACAGAAGTCGGAATAAGCTATCCGTTATTTTGAATTCATTTCGAAATAACAGAATTGCTGTGTAGACCAGGGCTCCTCAACTTTGGAAGCCCTGGGGACCACAATGATGCTCACAGCACATGCCCAGGGCTGCAAATTAAGTGTGGTTGAATATACTTGCAAATATATGCAAATAGCTTCTTTCACACTGACTGGCATGAATACAAAAATTAAGCCTTAACCTGCAGCGCTGGACCCAAATGTGGCGAATGGGAGCCAGTCAGCACCTCTCAGGCTCTGCCCATAAGGCTAAGCAGCCAGCACTTCCCATAATGCCCCAGTGCTCCCAGCACCTCCTCTCTGGGGGCTAGAAATGCCAACACCTTGTGCCTGCCTGTTCCAGCCAGCCCGTCCTCGTGCGTCTTTCAATTCTCACCTCGCCTGGGCGACACCTCACTGTGGTGGAGAGTGTTCCCAGTGGAAGCCATGTTCAAAGGATCCCACCTCTGGGCCATATATGGAGCCTGGTGTAAACCCAAATCACACCGCGGGCCTCAAACAAATGGGCTGCAGGCTGCATGCGGCCCATAGGCCACATGTTGAGTGGCCTTGGTGTAGATGCTCGCATTTTTATTTTGAAATTACGTCAATTATTTCAAAATAACGGAAATAAGACGCACCCTTGTTTAAGATCTGAGCCTCGATTCCGCTCCCAGTCTTTTTAATCTCTTTATATGGGACCTATTCCAAACCCCTCATCATTTTTGTTGTCCTTTTCTGAACCTTTTCCGTGGGCCCAGCAAAACTACTTTATCCTGGGAGTCCATCTTGGTTGCAACAATCTTATGGCCCATTGAGATGAAGGAGGGCCATTTATGCAGCCCACTCACTAGTCTGGGTTGCCCATCACAGAACTAAAATGCTTTCATTATTCTTTTTGGTGTGATCACTATATTTCCGCAGCAAGTCAGTGTTTCATCTACTACAGGCAGTCCCCAGGTTACGTACAAGATAGGGACTGTAGGTTTGTTCTTAAGTTGAATTTGTATGTAAGTCAGAACTGGTACATATTGTAGGGGAAACTCTAGCCAAACATTGCTCCAGAGCTCAGTTTTATTCTCCCACACCTCACTTCCCTCAGTCCTTTATTCTCAAGCTGAGGTGTCTGCTGAGAAAAGCCGCTCCGAGTCTCCCTGGTCTGCTGCTGGGGGGGGGGGGGGGGGGCACTAGCTTCACGTCTCCCTAGTCTGCTGGGGGAAGCAGCTAGTGCGGGGTTGCCTCACCCCGTTTGTAAGTGGGGATCCAATGTAAGTCGGATCCATGTAACCCGGGGACTGCCTGTATGTCTTTATTAAACAACAAATGGCACAGCCCACTTCTCACGAAAGCTCACGATACCATCTACATGTTTTGTTAGTCTATAAAATGCTACCAGAGCATTTGTTGTTTTTTAAGTTTATCCTGTACAGAGTAATGTGGCTACTCCCTGAAGCTTCTTCTGTCTTCATTGTGAGTTCCTAGGTACGTAGCACATAACATGCAAAAAATAAAACAAAACAAAAAACCCAAACAAATCCAAAACCCCCACCCTGATAAAAGATAAAGTTGTTTCCCAATTAAAGGAGAATTTGTGGTTAGCTTAATTAGCAATGGTTGCTTACACAATCTAACTCCTCGGCGAAGCACAGTTGCATCATCTGCTATCCAGGATGTCAGAAGGAGTTTGGCCTTAGCTATGAAAGGATTCTGGTCCATGCCTGGCTGTTGAAGACATTCTTGTTAATTATAAATACCGTCTTCTCTGTGGCATCTTTACAGTTGACAAACCCTTGCCTGAAGGAAAGTCCAGTGGAGGGTGAAATGCTGGCTCTATGGTAAGTCAGTGGGCGTGTTGTCATTGATTCCGTATGGCCAGAATTACACCCTGAACATCGGCACCAACTGAAGAGCCTTGGCCTAGTACAAATGTGCCTGAAATGAAGGGGAAGACAACTGTTGTCGTTTGTGGGCTTTGGATACGGCCGAGACTAGAGAGAGCAATTAAAAAATCAGCTGTTCTGAGAAGTGAGCGGCATGAGATTTCCGGGCATGGAATTCTGTATCTTTTATGCACCATCGTGGGGGCTGGCAGACTGTCTGGGCTGCTGGGCCAGATGGGACGCCCTGGCTCCATTCTCCCATAAGGGGCAACGGGCAGGTTGGGGACTAGCCTCCCCCAGCCAACCCTTCAGCACTGCCTGGATTGTGCTGCCTGGGGCTCTGGCAGGGATTTAAAGGGTCCGGCTGCTGCTGCAGTATCAGCGATGGTCACTGGGAGTCCCTGGCCCTTTCGAATCACTGCCTCCTTTGCAGTTTAAGCACCCATCCCTTATGGAGAGGTTGTTAGAACAGTGGAAAAATGGCAAAATAACCTTACTCACGGTTCATACCATTGCTGGAGGGCAGCGGGGATACAGCCACTCTGTGGAGAATGGCTCCTTCAGAGCTGTACAGATACCCACGTGGGAGCCAAGAGGGCTGTGGGGCAGAGGTGCTGGCAGTGAAGCAGCTGGCAATATGGAGGGGGAAGGCTGGGTGGCACTAAGCAGAGGCAGGTACAGAGAGCAGCGGGCCCAGCACCCACACCCTGTGCTTTTTCCTCTAGTTCTCCTCTATAATAATGGGGCTGGAAACCTGGATGCCACGTGTGATGTATTTAAAATGGGGTTACACTTACACGCTATCAAATGAGGTTTGTATGGGGCATTCTGCTGCTGCTTGTGGGCTTGGGGTTTTGGAGGGAAGGGTGCAAGCTGTGAATTCCACCCTCAGTCTGCAGAGAGCCATGGCAAAAGGCGTTGGGATGAGTTGAACCCCATCGTTGAGGGAGCAGCCTGCTTTCTCGCTCTCTATATTCCAGCCTTTTTGTGTCAGTGCAGCGGTTCCTGGCCTCTTTGACACTAGGGACTTACAAACCCATTCACCAACTTTTGGTGGAGCGGCAACATTTTATTGGCATATTTGCATATTCATTATGGTGGGCCGGCGGTTGGGGACTGCTGTGTTTGGGTTCTGGGCCATGCTTTGTTTGATAGATATTAGGAACCTAGGAGGAGGCGGGAGCAATCCATGTAGTGGGGGTCCTGAGAACCTCTCAACCAAACTGTAAACTATTTCCAGCCGCAGGTTGCGGTAGCACCCCCAGCATCCCCACTTCCAGCCCCTGGGGGAGGAGGTTAAAGAAACGAGGAGGGTTCAGGAAAGGGGCTGAGCCGGACTTTAAAGTCAATCCCAAAGCAGGGTGAGACAATGAGGGGGGCTTACAGCTATTTAGAGGATGTGGCCACCCAGCAGGGAGAGAATTATGGAAGCTGATACAAGGGAGGCTGACAAGGACTGAGTAAGACTTCTGTAAACTATTCAGTAAACTGTTTCCCATCTCTGAAAAGTTCACATAGAAAACAACTGGCCTGAATTTTCTGGTTTGTGCTTGTAACAGGGTGGCACTCACTTCCCTCAAGCTCTGGCTGAGCGCATGGGCTTCTCTATTGCTGTTTAAAGGCTCTTTGGTGACTCAGCCCTCCAGCCGAGTCTCACACACCCTGGGTGAGAATCACACAAGACCTTCTGGAGTATGCATTTAACAGGGGCCCATCTTGGTGCCCTCTGGAATTGACCCTCTGAGTCTGTTCCCCAGGTCTTCCTCTCCTGGAGCAACATCCTCTCCCTTACCTCAGGGCTTTATCTTAATGTCCCAACAGTGTCCATCGGTCTTCACTAAGCTCTACCCACAGAGTTGTGTGTGGTGCTGTGGCTCTCTCAGCCAGCCAGTTCCCCAGTCTGCACACCTTGAGGACTCCAAAGACACTGACTAGCTCCTTTTATAAGGCTTTCCGGGCTCCTAGTTTTCTGATTCCTCTGCTGCCACTCTAGCCTGCTTGGAGGATTTCCCTATTGCCTTAAGGGGTGGGGTGTGGCAGGACCACAGGGCTTCTGGCAGGAACCACAAGGCCTGATTCCCCACCCTGCCATCACAGTGCACCAGAATATTTGGAGTGGGATCAAGTACGTCTTTTGGGAGATGTGATTGATTGAAATAGCTGAAGGATTTGCCTTTGGTAAACTTGCTCTAGTCTTTATATTGAAAAACATGGGTTTGATTCTGATCTCCCTGACACCAGTTTTACACCAGTGTAAATATGATGGTTTCAGTGGAGTTACTCCTGACTTGTACCAGTCAGTGTAAAAGAGAACAGAATATTTGTAGGGGACAGATAATGAGCCAACTTCCCAGTAATATGATATCACAACACATGGTGCTTAGGAACAAATCTCCTGATTTTAAGAGGAATAAGGGATCTTTCGGAAAAGGCTTTATTTTCTGAAAGATCCCCGTCTAGACTGGCGCTTTTTGCCGGCAAAGCCCCGAGCCGGAAAAAAGCGGCAGCCATGTTTATGCAAATGAAGCGGGGAAGATTTAAATCCCCGCTTCATTTGCAATTGTGCTGTGTCTAATTTGCATCCCTTTTACAGAAAAGGGGTGCAATCTAGACACAGCCGTTGAGCAAAAAAACAACAAGGGGGGGAGGCTGGGTCACCTTGCACTCCCCCTGGAATTTCTTCACACCCCCCAGTTTGGGTACCCCATGCTCTGAGGTGTCACAGGACTACTTGTTGTTCTAACACTGCTCCTCCTCAGAGATTTTTTACATCTAAACAGGTGTTCCGGCTCTTTTTTCTCTTGAATTCTTTTTCTCCATTGCTTTGTTCTATTTGCTAAATCAGCTTTCTTGTTCACAGAAGATGTGTTATCTCCAGAGATGGGTTATCTGGCACAAGCCAGACTGACTTAATAATAAGTGGTTGACATAGATGGAATATTGCACCTACACCATGGTCACAAGGTGTGTCCCTAGGTTGAGGTGTGTCTCCAGCCTGTTTTGAGGTACCAGAGCTAGCTATACCTAGCTAACTAGAATTACAAAAGCAGTGAAACACTGGCAGTGTAGGCAGCAGCAAGGACTGTCAAAGTCTACATGGTATCACTTGGCTATGTCTAGACTGGCATGATTTTCCGCAAATGCTTTTAACGGAAAAGTTTTTCCATTAAAAGCATTTGCGAAAAAGGGCGTCTAGATTGACATGGACGCTTTTCCGCAAAAGCACTTTTTGCGGAAAAGCGTCCATGCCAATCTAGATGTGGTTTTGCGCAAGAAAGCCCCGATCGCCATTTTCGCCATCGGGGCTTTTTTGTGCAAAACAGTTTTTAGCTGTCTACACTGGCCCTTTTGCGCAAAAGCATTTCCGGAAAAGGGCTTTTACCCGAACGGGAGCATGAAATTATTTGCACAAGAAGCACTGATTTTGTCCATTACAAAGTCAGTGCTCTTGAGCAAATTCAAGCGGCCAGTGTAGACAGCTGGCAAGTTTTTGCACAAAAGCGGCTGCTTTTGTGGAAAAACTTGCCAGTCTAGACACAGCCACTTGAGTTTCTAGACTGTGCTTCCGTGGCATTGCTGCTGTTGGTACCTCAGCTAGGTAGCTCAAAGTTAGAGTGGGTGAGTGTCCCTATATTGTAGTGACACCTCTGATTTCAGAGTAGACATATCCTGAGCTTGGGAGAATTGTTAAAGTTCATCCCAGGACTGTTGGTATCAGAGGCCTGACTCCTGAGGGGGACATTCAGAGACCAGCGAGAGCACGGCAGTGCACGCAATCCTCATCCTTGACTTCTATCATAGAACCCTTTTCTTGCATTTTTTTTTTCATTTTCATAGGCAGAGTGTCAGCCCATCCTCTTCTCTTTCTCTCCTGCCTGAATCATGTGAATGAGACAAACCTGGAGAGGTGCTTAGCACCAGCAGGTACCATTGTCTTCACCGGGCTTGGCACACAAACAATTTGTGTCTGTCCTTTTGACAATTATTGTTAAGTCTGATGGAAGTGGCCTGCAGAAGTCAGCTGCTGATCAGAGCCAAACCAGAAGGTGTCCGTTAAGTGTCCTAAGATATTTTGTACAGACCACTGTGACCTAATGTGTCCTACACAATCTGAGATGGCACAAGATTTTTGGCACAGAGACAGTGGCATTTTTCATAGAGTTGTAAGAATCACAACATCCAGACTGTGGTTGGTTAATTGAAATCTTCCCCAGAAGCTGGGGTCATCTTCTGATTGGCTCAAAGCAGTTTTACAAAATCTATAAAACAGGGAGTTTGGGTCAAAGCATCACTCTGTGAAGCTAAAACATCAGGACAAGAGACAGCGAGCTGGACTGTCATCACTTGGTTGCTGGGAGCGCTTCCTCTGTGGTAACGACTATAGTCACTTCTCTGATAATAACCCTGCTAATGTTTCCTTTAAAAGTCTTGTCTAGGGAGTAGGCCGTGAGACCAAGAAACTAAAGAATAACATGGCTGTAACCTCTTGAGTGAGTGAACTGCCTGAATGAACTTTCTAGGATATCATGAGAAACTTCTTGGGGTGTGTGTGTGTGTGTGTGTGTGTGTGTGTGTCTGAGCTGCAGAACACACCTTCATGCCAATTTGACTGGAAAAGTGGTAATACAATTGTTATCTTTACCACAATGAAAAGTTGGTTACTCAAAGCTACAGGAGATAAAGCCATCTACAGGTTAATGTCAGTTACTCAAATTGCTTTTATCTGGGAATCCTAGTTATTCTAGTTTTATCTGGTAATCCTAGTTATAATCCTAGTCATTCGAATGGCTAGTGTGTCTCCACAGCAGTCCTGAGTTAGTTAATTGCCCATGGATGAACTTGAGATTTCCAGAGAAAGGTATGATGACAATGAGAAAGGGGGATATAAATGAGGGAGAATGTATGGAGGAGGGCAGAAAGATGGGGAAAGAAAGAGAGTTAACAGGCAATAAAGAAAGAGAGTGGATATGTCTAGACTGCATCCCTCTGTCAACAGAAGGATGTAAATCAAGCTAGTTGAAATTGCTAATGAAGTGGGGATTTAAATATCCCACACTTCATTAGAATAAACATGGCTGCTGCTTTTTATCGAAACAAAGCTTTTCGAAAAAAAAAGGCAGTCTAGATGCTGATCTGTCGAAGAATACATCCTTTTTCAACAGATCCTGTATTCCTCAAAATATGAGGTTTACAGGATCTGTCGAAAAAGGGTTTATTCTTCGACAGATCTACATCTAGACTGCATTTTTTTCCGAAAAAGCTCCATTTCGAAAAAGTGGCAGCCATGTTTATTCTAATGAAGATATTTAAATCCCCGCTTCATTAGCAATTTCGACGTGCCTAATCTATATCTCTCTGTCAACAGAGAGGTGTAGTGAAGACACAGCCAGTAAGGGGATATGATCAAGACTGAAAGGGAAAGATTTCAAGGAGAGAAAGGGCAGGGAGGAGTTAAAGGGAATAGATGGATGTAAAGGAACAAAGGGAAGCAGAAATAAGGGTGAAGTAGAGAAAAAAGGAAAGAAGGAGAGACGGGCGGGTGTAGTCACATGAGAGAGCAGCCTCCGGGGTGCTTATTAAGCACTTGGAAGCACTGTCAGTCTTGGGCTCTGCAAATACCAGCACGAAAAATGAAGTTTGGTGCTGAAGTTAAAAAATGTGGCCCTGAAAACTTGGCAACTATTGATTATGTGCATTGAAATGCTCCCTGATGTCACAAGCACATTCCCACTACAGCGTGGCAGTATCCCCACTATTGTAAAAGAACAGAGGTCAGGTGCAGGTAAAATGAATGCTAATATTGGGCATGGAACAAGATGCATGGAACAAGATAGAACAAAGGTGGAGAACCGCTGCTGTAAATCATTATCTGTACGTCTGGGGTTCATTGTGTGACAGTGTAAGTTCTTATGTGACTTGTCTTAGAGTTTCTAAATTCTAACCTTAGAGTTCTTGGGTTGCAGTGACATCAGGACTCCTGTAATTCCACTGGAGAATAGTTTAATCTGAAATGAGCAAGAATCTGCATTTAAGCACTTCTACATTAATGTTGGTAATAATGTCACCTCCCCAGTGTATCACAGAATGAAGATCAAATTTTCCTAAATAATAACACTATGATAAAACCATTATTATTTCTTGGTAAATTGTATCGGCATATGATGAAGTCATTCTTAGAAATTTCATACATGTGAGCATCTAACCGCCTTTCTTTAGTTTTGGGTAATTTCTTAATTGTTTATAATTCTATTTTGGGCAATCAAACGCATAACTATGCAACGCATCTCTAGTCTGTACTTTGGCTAAGGAAAAAGAGATTTCCTTTAGAAAGTGAATGAAAGTAATTGATTGATTAAATTATTTACAAAACACATGAAAAATATGATTTCACGGAATCATAGAATACTAGGACTGGAGGGGACCTCGAGAAGTCATTGAGTCCAGTCCCCTGCCCTCATGGCAGGACCAAATATTGTCTAGGCCATCCCTGATAGACATTTATCTAACCTACTCTTAAATATCTCCAGAGATGGAGATTCCACAACCTCCCTGGGCAATTTATTCCAATGTTTGACTACCCTGACAGTTAGGAACCTTTTCCTAATGTCCAACCTAAACCTCCCTTGCTGCAGTTTAAGCCCATTGCTTCTTGTTCTATCCTCAAAGGTCAAGATGAATAAGTTTTCTCTCTCCTCCTTATGACACCCTTTTAGATGCCTGAAAACGGCTATCATGTCCCCCCTCAATCTTCTCTTTTCTAAACTAAACAAACCAAGTTCTTTCAACCTTCCCTCATAGGTCATGTTCTCTAGACCTTTAATCATTCTTGTTGCTCTTTTCTGGACCCTCTCCAATTTCTCCACATCCTTCTTGAAATGCTGTGCCCAGAACTAAACAAAATACTCCAACTGAGGCCTAACCCGTGCCGAGTAGAGCAGAAGAATGACTTCTCGTGTCTTGCACACAACACACCTGTTAATGCATCCCAGAATCATGTTTGCTTTTTTTGCAGCAGCATCAGACTGCTGACTCATATTCAGCTTGTGGTCCACTATAACCCCTAGATCCCTTTCTGCCATATTCCTTCCTAGACAGTCGCTTCCCATTGTATATGTGTGAAACTGATTGTTCCTTCCTAAGTGGAGCACTCTTTTCATTTGTCTTTATTAAACTTCATCCTGTTTACCTCAGACCATTTCTCCAATTTGTCCAGATCATTTTGAATTATGACCCTATCCTCCAGACTAGTTGCAACCCCTCCCAGCTTGGTATCATCTGCAAACTTAATAAGCGTACTTTCTATGCCAATATCTAAATCGTTGATGAAGATATTGAAGAGAGCCAGTTCCAAAACAGACCCCTGCGGAACCTCACTTGTTGTACAGCAATTTAGATTACAGCAATATTTTTATAGTTCAAGATGCCACCATTCCCAATGCCCTAATGCTCTCTGTCTTGGTGTTTTTTGTCTTCAGTGACACCGAGTTCCTGGTCCAGCTTCAGCGATGAAGATCCTTTACCTGCTCTTCTCTGTTGTCTTCTTGGTGCTCATGAATGCTCCAGGTAAGATGTCAATGAAAACAATCAATGATACAGAAAGCTACCTAGGAACATGTACTAAGATTGTCTAATTCTGTCCATTTTAATTTTTTTCTACATTCTTTATAAGCTCTCGCCCCTGCCTGAAAGAACAGCCATTAAAGTGTTATATATTCTATATAGATAGAACTATCTATAACCATAACCAGGGCTTGCCAAGCTGCGGCAAACCCCGCTCACCAGCCGCGCGGCTCAGCATGCTGCGCATGCACTGATCGTACTGCGGCACCATGCCGGGCTATAATCTACTTGCCCATGGTGGATAGATTACCTATACTGTCGAGTCCTGACTATAACTATATAACACATTTATACAATGTGAGTTGGTAGATACTGATACAGATACATGCCCTCTCAGGAATGTCCTTTTTTTTGAAAGTTCAGATATGATAACCCTACAGTTACCCCTCTTTAGCATTGTTGATACAATGTGGCACATCACGGTTAGAGCCAGAGGGAATCAAAACTACAGCCCATCCACAAAGGGAAGTTATGTAGGCAGCCACTTGCTTTACGTCCCTTAAAGGCACGGGGCAGGGAAGGACATCCCTGCTCAGGGCTATGGTTCTATAATCTCCAGCCAGTCAGTGTCCTAGTTTAATTAAATTGCTCCATTCTCTACTTAGAGGCTGTTGTTGAATTTGGCAAGAACTACAACCATTTAAGCAGTGCTAGAGCCATGATAAACTTTTACAGTGGAAGATAATGAGTCTAGCTTGGCCATGTCTCGGGAACTGAGAAATACCTGGTATCCTGGAGTCACAGCCCTTACTTGTCCTTTTCAGCAGAATGGTGATTCATGCTTCTTTTCGTTCTCAGGATTCTCCTGGGCCATAGTGACCCCTGGGGGATGTAAACACCGAGGGGGCTTTTGCTTCTTTTGGCGATGTCCCACCCCATCTGAGTACTTTGACAAGTGCATTCCATATGGCCACTGCTGTCGCAAGTAAGCAAAACATCCCTCAAGGGCGTATGAGCAGGAATTTTCAAAACTCTCTCTCCATTTAGGAACTCATGAATCCTTCCCTCCTTAAAGCAGCTCAGCTCTTAGCCCTATATTTTCTCCCATTTGAAAACCAGGAGAGGTCATTAGTAGAATCTCAGCAATGACAATGCTTGGATTGTTCAGAAGAAGGTGAATGTTTTAAGCATGAAGATTTCCTCTGTAAAGTTAACATGACCACATTGGGAATCTGCTTTTCTCCTTCTTTCTGATTGCTGTAAAGCACGGGTTCCCAAACTGGGGGGCATGCCCTCCTGGGTGTGTGTGAAGAAATTCCAGGGGGGGCGCAAGGTGACCCAGCCTCCCAATCAATCTCCCCCGCCCCAAGTTTTGCTGCTATTTTTGTTTTTCTGCCCCGGTCGGTTCCTTTTTTTTTTTTTTTGCTCAGCAAATTTTTGCTGCTATTGGGGTGCGGTGTGAGGGTTTCTCAAAAATCAAAAAGGGGGTGTGATGCCGAAAAGTTTGGGAACCACTGCTATAAAGGCTGTTCAGCTGATCAAAATAAAGTTGCAGGAGAAACAATTCCTGGAAAAAGAATTGGGAGGGAATAAGGGACTTTCACACTAACTTAAATCCCAGAAAGGATGAGCGGGGCAAGAGAGGTGAAGCTGTGATATATATATCCATGCATTTTGAAACTTTAACATTATGTTGTAGTGGGGACAGTGGATTAACCAAGAATTAACCCAGAACCTTTTCACTCATCTTTCAATGCTAGCATGTTCCTTTCATGGCATTTGATTTGAAAGGAAGCATCATACTATTCTTGTTTTATAGGAAGAAACATCAGAATCTGATTCTTTTCTTTTTGTACAGGAAGTAGTTTGACAGATAGCCACTTGCTTCTAAAATCACCAGGTGGATGAATCACCTCAGTGGAACCTTGAAGTGCCATTCATTTCAGCTGGAAATAAGAAATTCCAGAAAGGAGCCCTTGTATCACCCATAAATGATTTGTTATTCTCCTTTTAATAAAAGCAAGCAGGTGTGAGATAATCATGCCAAAGTGTGTGTGTGTTGGCGGGAGACAAGGGGACTGCTTCTATCATAGGGGGAGAGGAAGAGAGAGAGAGAGAAAGAGAGAGAGAGAGAGAGAGAAACTTCTGTCTAAAACACACAGCATGGTCTAAAATGCTTTCAGCATTTTTTTGAGAGATCATTTTGGAAATGAAACTTTCTCAGCCTGCAGGGCTTTGTTGCAGAATATCTAGGATAAATTTTAATGCTCTCTATCGTTTCTAAAGTCACATATTATTTCTCCACCACAAGTTAGTGTTTCGTATACTATGTCTTTATTATGAATTTCTAGGCATGTAGCACATACTATGCAAGAAACTGGTAAAAGATAAAATTGCTTTACAATTAAAGGGGAATTTGTGGTTAGCTTAATTAGCAACTGTTGCTTACACAACCCAACTCCTCGGTGAAGCACATTTGCATCATCTGCTATCTGGGATGTCAGAAGGAGTTTGGCCTAAGCTATGAAAGGTTCCACGAGGCGTACAGGTAGTTCGGAATAGGAAGCCTAGTCCGAACGACCTAGTTCGTGCCGCGTGTAGCCGCGGGCACGGAGTCCGCACTAGCGGACATTTAAAAATGGCGGCACCTGGCAACATGCAAATGAAGCCCGGGCTTCATTTGCAAGTTCGCATGACTACATTAACCACCCTAGTTCAACCTAGGGTGGTAGTGTAGACATACCCTGGGAGTGTTGTCATTGATTCCATATAGCTAGAATTACACTCTGAACATCTGCACCAATTGAAGAGCCATGGCCTAGTACAAACATGCCTGGAATGAAAGGGAAGACAACTGTTGTCTTTCCTGGGCTTTGGATAGGGCCAATAGTACAGAGAGGACATTCAGAAAAAGCTCCTCTGAGAAGTGAGAAGCACCATGGTTTGTATCTTTTAAACATCCGGACTAATATTCATTGCATTTAGTTTATTTTCCAATTTAAGGACCTAGACCTGGAAGAGAGGCTTAAAGTAGTGCTAAATGGCAAAATAACCTTACTAAGGGTATGTCTACACTACAAAGTTAATTCGAACTAACAGCCGTTAGTTCGAATTAACTTTAATAGCAGCTACACATACAAACCCCTAGTTCGAATTTAATTCGAACTGGCAGAGTCTTAATCCGAACTAGGTAAACCTCATTCTACGAGGACTAATGCCTAGTTCGAATTAACTAGTTTGAATTAAGGGCTGTGTAGCCACTTAATTCAAACTAGGTGGAGGCTAGTCCTTAGGGTCCCAGGGAAACTTTTCTGTCCCCCTCCCGGCCTCGGAGCCCTTAAAGGGGCACGGTCTGGCTACGGTGCTCGTGCCAGTTGCAAGCCTGCCAGCACCCAGCCAGCAGACCCTGCACCTTGCATGGCATGAGCCAGCCACCCGCTGCCATCCTGCCCTCTGCCTCTTCCCAGGACCAGGCTGGTAGCTCCCAGGAGCCTGCCCGGGGCCACAAGAGGCGGGCGCCCGCCTGGTCTAGTGCAGAGATCGTGGACCACATCGAGGTTTGGGGGGAAGCCTCTAATGTCCACGATCTCTGCACTAGGCACAGGAATGCGGCCGTCTAGCTGCCAGCCTGGCCATCGAAGGCCACATGCGAACCCAGGAGCAGGTGTGCATGAAAATCAAGCTGGTCCAGTGAAACCCCTGACCCTGACCCCTGAGCTTAGAACATAAGAACATAAGAACGGCCGTACTGGGTCAGACCAAAGGTCCATCTAGCCCAGTAGCCTGTCTGCCGACAGCG